GGGAGCACTCCTAAGACTAAACAGATGTCACCAGAGAAAATAAAATCACAGCAAAGAAAGCAGACCAACCAAATACTAACTAAAGGCAAAAAATAAAATCAACTACCCACTAAAAGCAGTTAAAGGAAACACAAAAGAGCACAGAATAAAACAACCAACATATAAAGAATAGAGGAGGAGGAATAAGAAGGGAGAGAAGAAAAGAATCTCCAGACAGTGTATATAACAGCTCAATAAGCGAGCTAAGTTAGGCAGTAAGATACTAAAGAAGCTAACCTTGAACCTTTGGTAACCACGAATCTAAAGCCTGCAGTGGCAATAAGTACGTATCTTTCAATAGTCACCCTAAATGTAAATGGACTGAATGCACCAACCAAAAGACACAGAGTAATAGAATGGATAAAAAAGCAAGACCCATCTATATGCTGCTTACAAGAGACTCACCTCAAACCCAAAGATATGCACAGACTAAAAGTCAAGGGATGGAAAAACATATTTCAGGCAAACAACAGAGAGAAGAAAGCAGGGGTTGCAGTACTAGTATCAGACAAAATAGACTTCAAAACAAAGAAAGTAACAAGATAAAGAAGGACACTCCATAATGAAAACAAGCATTCAGCTTTAACCATTACTCTTCCCCCAAATACCACAACACTGGCAAAGCAAAATTCAGCATCCTATCACATCATAAAAATGCAATTTTCTGAATAATACTTAGGATCTGGACTTTCAACAATTTTATCTATGGCAGAAAAAGTATAAATGCTTTTATAAGGTAAAACTGGCCACCATCAATAAAATAAACTCCCACCTAACATAAAGAGCTTGCTGGTGGGAAGCTCCTATAAAATAGCTGGCAATTTATCACAATTTTGTTGTTGTTCTTAAATTACAACTACTAACTTACAGAATGGCTAAAATTAAAAAGACAAACAGCAAGTGTTGGTGAGGGTATAGAAAAACCAGCACTTTCATATATTACTGGGCTGGAGTGTAAACTGGCACAGCCACTTTAAAAACTGTTGGCAGGATCTACTAAAGCCAAGCCCAGCAGTTCCACTTCTACACAGGTCCCCGGCAGAAAGGCACACTTCTGCACCAAAGACATGTAGATGACGTAATCAGGAGAATGATTAGAGCACCACTCATGATAGCATAAAAGTAGAAAGAACCTAGACGTCCATCAACAGAATGGATTAAGTCGTACATTCTTATAATTGTAATAATACAGCAATGAATACTCATGGATAAACCTCAGAAATGTGGTGAACTATCCTAAGTGAGAGAGATCAAACAAAGACCGCATACTATGTGATCCCATTTTATGAAATTCTAGAAAAGTCAAACTACAGTGAAAGAAAGCAAATTAGTTGCTTGGGCTCAGGGCAGGGGATCAACTGGAAAAGGACTCAAGAAAACTTCTTTTAGAGTGATGGAATGGTTCCAGATACTGATGTATACATATGTGTAATACAATGACTGAAATTCAAATTGTACATCTAAGTC